ACCTGGCATGCTCTCCCAGCATTATGGTATGGTGCCTCCATCCAAGGCTGTCAAGCTTTCTCCACAAGCTCTCTGGTAGCTCCCAGCAGATGTTTGACCTGGCAGCAGGCAGGGTTTTTCCCTCCTTTTAAGGAGTGATTGAGAAGACACAGATGTTTTAGTAGAAAAGGAGAAACTGATTTTATTTCCCTGTCAGACTTCGTACATGTAGATGGAGGAAGTTCATGAGGATGAAAGTCATTAAGTCTGCTTTTTCTCTTACTGCTGCTTTTGTTGTTTTGTCTACTTTACTTGTTACTGTTGGCTTTTTTTTTTTTAAGTTGTTGGAACTTGTGAGGGAAAAGAGAAGTTTGCAAATTGGACACGCCAGCAAAAATTGAGAGGGTTCTTCATGATGTGTGCATTAATGTGGCCTCTGTCACCACAGCTGGAGGCACGATGCTGAGCTCATTGCCTGCCAGGTCACTGTGTGGTCAGCAGCAGGCAGTGGCACAGCTTGCTGCCCATGGCCAGAGCTGGAGCTGGTGCTCATCTGTGTGCCCTGAGGCATCTCCCGGTGCTGGATGTTGGTCTTGCTGCTGCTGGGGGTTTGCGGCTGCCCAAAGTCCTGGCCTGAGAAGCATGGTCTTGGTTTTTCTCTGTGTGTCACTTTTTGGCTGCTCGCTTTCTCCACCCTGCATGAAAGAAGCCAAAGAAGCACATGCTCGGTTCCTCGGCTTCTGGCTGTATTTAAAACAATTAAAAAAGCAGTTAATCACAGTCCTTAACGTTGCCCTGGCTGCAGTGGGCTGTGATTCCATCTCCCAACCTCTACAGTAAGCGCATAGTTGCAAGAGCCACTTCCATAACCCATTGCCATGATCACCCTTGGGGTGAGAGCCTCAGTAGTTGGTTTCCCCAAGATATCCAGGAGTGTTAGCATAGCTGAGTCACGCTTTTCCAGTGTTGTTTTTTGACTCTTATGCACATCATTTTTTACAGTGAGGGTAGTGAAGCATTGGAGCACGTTGCCCAGAAATGGGGTGGAAACCTCACCCCTGGAAACACTGGATGGAGCTCTGAGCGACCTGATGTAGCTGTAGATGTCCCTTTTCATTGCAGGAGAGTTGGACCTTGAGGGGTCCCTTGCAGCTCAGACAGTTCTATGATCTAGGGGGAGCCTTGTTCTACCCCACATGGGGCTGTCATCAGACTTCAGTTGTGAGTAGCTCTTCTGGATGTTTAAAAGATCTATTCAGGGATGTGTAAATCTACCATAAAACTTCACCGTGGACCAAGAAATGGTTAGGGGATCTTAAGAACAAATGGAAGAAGTTTATGGAGTGGAAGGGAGGAAGGAGGGAATGATTTATTCATGATTAAAATAATTGTTTGTGGATGAGTAGTTTTTGCATAGGCTATTTATAATAATGTCTGTGAGGGCTGAAACTACATGATCTTTGTGGTGCTTTTCAACCCAGGCCATTCTATGATTCTAGATGAAGTGAGATTTGATACAGCCATTCTCAGAGGAAGGGTCCAGAAAACAAAGAGAATTTCAACAGCTTTTTTTGATGTTGTTAACTTTAGTCAGGCTTATGGGCTAATAAAAAGCATGGAGTTTTTGGAAAACCTCAAGTCCTGAACAAAGATTTATAACCTTGCAAAATGAAGTGAGATTGCTTCTTGGTTCACGCTGCTGACAGATGAGAAGCCCAGCTTGGTGTACAGGCTGCTGTTGAAAGTAGGAAGGCCCACAGAAGATCATTACTTGCCCTGCACTGTGTACTGTAAGGGACCACAAGCAGGAGGCAGCCAGCAGAGCCAGGGGGTGGTTCTTAGGAAGGCCCTGACTTTCCCTTTTGCAAGAGCAAAGGCAGCTTGTATGCAGTGGCAATTCAAGCAGGGACGTGAAGTGCGGTGCAAAGATGCGATGATGGCTTGTGGTGAGCAGGAATGCCCCAGCCAGCAAGGAATGTATCAGCAAGTCTGTGGTAGTGGAAAAAGCCTTAATTATTCCTGCATAGGATAGATGGGATTCAAGAGAGGAGCCCAGTCCTACTTCTTAATAACCAGAATACTTTCAGGAAAGGATTGCAACACTGCCCAGAGGAGCAGAAATGTTGTGTAGCTATAGGCATTCACTCAGCACCGTGACTAATCTTCTGGAAACTCAAAGGAATTCCCTTAGAGAGGGAATGCCATGCATCACCCTCAGCCAAAAAAAGAAAAAGTCACGTGTTTCCTTGACATCACATCATGTTTGTGTGTTTTTACTGCTGTAGGAAAGTTCTTCATTCTGATCACTGCATGCTTTCAAGTATTTTGAGTATGGTCAAGGTGCAAGGATATTAAATTTGAGTAGTTTTGTTTGAACAGATCACAGAGCAATGGAGTCAGGAAGTACTTTTAGAATAGTTTCAGGTACAGCCAGGGCCGCTTTCGTCATGTCAGTACAGTTACTTGCAGTGTGGATCTATTGCTAGCATACTTGAAAGCTGGTGGATTAGAGCTTCCTGAGGTTGAGGATGAAATAAAAGACCACAGGGTACATGAACAGAGCACATAAAGGCAGCATTGAACAGACAGCAAGAGCTTGGAAGCAGTGGGATCTTCTTGTAACTGGCTTTGCCTTTCTGCTACATCAGAACTGTCCCCCAGTTGCCAAGCAGCAATGTTCCCTTCTGCTCTGAAATCCTCAACAGACGTGTAAGCTACAAACAGCGCATGTGGGTATGTGCTGCTTCCAGTATTGTGGGATTGCTGGAGTGCCTAAATAAACAGCTTGATTTTTTTTTTTTTCCCTCAAAGCATGAAACCCCCAGTGCAGCATCTTTGGAAGAAGCTGCATGTCTAAGCTGACCTTGCAGAAAGCAGCACGTAGAAACATTACTTGGAGTTGCTGTAAGAGATAGCAGTAAATAACTGGCTATCAAGAGCATTTTCCAGACAGTGGTTCAGTGACAGTGCTCCAAGGAAAGAAGCTTCTTGTGTGATATATGAAGGGTGTATGTCACCTGAGTGGAAAACAACAAGGAGATTTCAGAAGATACTTAAAAAACATTGATCTCAATAAGTTTAGAACACTCGATGAAAGTCCTTCCTTAGTGAGAGTCAAACATGAGCTGTCAAAACTGCTGTTGCAAATCTTGCAACAGCTTAGAATTCACTTTTGCTGCATCTCTGCAGGACGTGAATGTTTAGAGGGGAACTCTTCACCTCCAAGCAAGACAGCATCCTTGTAAATATGATGAGATAAAGTGAAAAGGATTCATGCTTATTTTATTACTTGTTTTTCTGTCACTCGGTGTAAATTGTTTTAAATAAAAACACACTGGCTTAAGGAATTTCTGTGGGACTTTTTGACTGTAAATGGGAGGGTAGAACTGTGCAATGAGATGTTTATCTCTACTTGTATACTTGCATTTTGGCTGTCTACTTTGTCTTTCTTGTGCAGCTGCTGAATGTCAGGTAGTCCACAGTTAATGTTTGTGAAACAGATCAGTAAATTGTTAGAAGCATCAGCAGCATCAGTTGATGAATTTTTCCTTTAATGATCAAGCGTTCAAAGTGTCGGGCAATGACTGCCTTCAAAAGGAAAATAAAAAAGTAATTTGCGTAATTACAAAGCCCTTGTACAGCTTTTGAAAGGGGGTGACAAATTGCTAGCTTTCACTGTGTACATATGGATGTGAAGCAGTCTTTGTAGAACTCCCACTGGCTGTCAGCACTCTGAATTCTCCATGCATGCATGCTAGACTTTCTCCCTCTGTGCTTCTCCAAAATGTACTGCGCCAGAGGCTGGGCACCCAACACTAAGAGGTGAGCCCCGAATTCAGAGGCAGGCCTTGATCATGGCTATATCAGTACCACCTATGTTATTTGGAGAGTAGTGATATCCATGATGTGTCGGCCAAGATTCCTTCCAAAGTTCAAGGCAGTGCACGTTCTTACAGTATTTTTAAATGCCGTCTCTCATTGCTTCTGCAGTTCAGCAGAATACCTTTTCTTTCTGATTATCCCCCTTTTCATAGAATCATAGAATGGCCAGGGTTGGAAGGGACCTCGAGGATCATCAAGCTCCAACCCCCCTTCCACAGGCAGGGCCGCCAACCTGCACATTTAATTCTAGACCAGGCTGCTCAGGGCCCCATCCAACCTGGCCTTGAACACCTCCAAGGATGGGGCATCCACAGCCATTTCTGAAACATCTCCAGTCTTCTCTGTCTTGGTAGTAATAGGCTCTAGAGGCTGGAAATTGATGGTCTGGGACTATTGTATAATTCTCTGGATGTAGGCTTTTTGTGATGCTTTTGAAGATGTCTGAAAACTGGAAATACATTAAAGTGAAAAGACACTTGCGTTGAGGGTTTTAGGCTGTGAATACTTGTAATGGAAAGCATTGTAGTACAATAGAAGGGCATCACTAAAGTTTTGCTGGCTGCTGTTACAGGATGGGCATACATAAATAATGTATAGGACACTGGTGGATTTTCCAGAATTACACAACATTGCTCTGAGGTTCAGAAAGCCTGATAAAACTTCTTGTAGTAGTGCATGGCAGATTATGTCCTTTGGCAGACTGCTGCAACAGCTCTGCACCCTCTATTGAATGTGAGCTTTTTACTGTATTGTTACTTTTACTCTTTACTGTGACTGCCTAGAGTCATGAGAGTAATTTAAACAATGTTTATGTGCATAATTTGACTCTTCCACTGCAACACAAAGGTTTGTGTAACCCTGAGTAAAGGAAGTTTTCCTTGGGACTGCAAGGGTAATATATTGAGCAAGTGTTTTTGAGGCTGGGTAGGGTCATTAAGTCATTACCTAAATTGTGCATCTATTGGAAAAATCACCACTGTTTTGTACCGGAAAAAACTGAAGGATGAGTTCAGCGTGGAACGCAATGACTTGAAAAGAATGGGGAATTGACACTAGGCCCTGCCCCAGGCATGCTCTTGATTTTAGTTAGATGTGACTGGTAGTGGTCTGAACATCTGTAGAGTTTCATTTGCTTTCAGGTTCCTCTCCATCTTGGAGGCCCTTCAGCTTGGTGGGGATGCAGCGAGTTCTTCCTGAAATGCCTTAGTCTGGGCAAGATTGGGCTTTTACAGTAAGTGGGGACACATACAAGTAACTGATCTTGATGAAGAACAGGTAATTTACAGTTACTCATTAAACTGACAGTGAAAATGTAGATGTGGTACAAGGTTCACAGAATCACAGAATTGTAGGGGTTGGAAGGGACCTCCAGAGATCATCGAGTCCAACCCCCTGCCAAAGCAGGTTCCCTACAGCAGGTCGCACAGGTCGGCATCCAGGCAGGTCTTGAACATCTCCAGAGAAGGAGACTCCACCACCTCCCTGGGCAGCCTGTTCCAGTGCTCCGTCACCTCACTGTAAAGAAGTTGTTGTGCACATTGGTGCAGAACTTCCTGTGCTGCAGTTTCCAGCCGTTTCCCCTTGTCCTGTCTCCACTCACCACTGAAAACAGTCTGGCCTCGCCGTTCTGCCCCCCACACCTTAGATATTTATAGACCTGGATCAGGTCCCCTCTCAGTCTCCTTTTCTCCAGGCTGAACAGACCCAGTTCACTCAGCCTTTCTTCACAGGAGAGATGCTCCAGGCCCTTCAACATCTTTGTGGCCCTCCGCTGGACTCTTTCCGAGAGATCCCTGTCTTTTTTGTCCTGGGGAGCCCAGAACTGGACGCAGTGCTCCAGATGAGGCCTTACCAGGGCAGAGTAGAGGGGGAGGATCACCTCCCTCGACCTGCTGGCCACGCTCTTTTTAATGCACCCCAGTAAGCCATTGGCCTTTTTGGCCACAAGGGCACACTGCTGGCTCATGACCAACCTGTCATCCACCAGGACACCCAGGTCCCTCTCTGCAGAGCTCCCCTCCAGCAGCTCATCCCCCAACCTGTACTGGTGCATGCAATTATTCCTCCCCAGATGCGAGACTCTACACTTGCTTTTGTTAAACCTCATCTGGTTTTTTTCTGCCCAGCTCTGCAGCCTGTCCAGGTCTTGCTGAATGGCAGCACAGCCTTCAGGCTGTCAGCCAATCCTCCCAACTTCGTATCATCACAAACTTGCTGAGGGTGGCCATTATTCCCTCATCAAGGTCACTGATGAAGATGTTGAACAAGACCAGACCCAGCACCGACCCCTGAGGATCACCGCTGGTTACAGGCCTCCAACCGGCCTCCGCACCACCAACAACGACCCTCTGTGCTCTGCCACTCAGCCAGTTCTCAACCCACCTCACTGTCCAAAAGGTTCCAAGGTTCTTTTACATACCTTGGTTTAGCAATGATTTTATCTGAGTAACTGGTCTTACAGGGCAAAATCCTGCTGGGACAACTTGTTAAACGCAGTTCAGTGAACAGGTTTTAGCCTCTAGAGGCAGACTTAGGAAAGATTCAGTAGGTGAGGAAGTTTGGTTTGCTTAGCAAGTGGCCTTGCTGGAACAATTATTGATCAGTCTCTATTAGCCCAATTTCAAACAGTTATGTATGTTTTCCTCCTATCTCCCTCAAATTTCTTGAGGGTTGTCTTTGTTACTGTATCTCATTTGTAATACTGTAAATCCCTGGGAATGGCTATTGCTGAAGTCATGGAAGTTGTTGATACTGAAGAACTGAGTTGATGAAAAATGATAGAAATGTTTATACTCTTTCCCTGTGTTTCCTGTTCAGAAGGTCCTTCAGTGTTAACTTAGGGTATTGAAAATATAATGATCAATGCAGGTTCTTTGTGAATCAGATTCAGATGTGCACGTAAGGCAGAAACCAGAAAATCTCTTTGGGACAGCTAAATCAAAGTAACACTGTTTCTCTGTTCCTTTGTTTTATTGTATCCTGAGTGCTCTTTCATCTGTACTTCTATAAGCTTCTTCCAAGTGTGAAACTGAAAGGAGAAGTTCAGTTCTGCTGTTACTTGTGTTTCTGTAATGCTTGCAATGGAGTGATTCACTCTCTTTTCTGTTTGTTTTTTTTTCTTACAGTATCAAGCTTTTGGCTGTGCAGGAGCTGCTTGATAGAGAAGCACTGGAAAAGGTATTTAAAATGTGCCTAGTACAACAGTAGTAATAGGTTGGAGCTCTTAAAGCACTCTGTGTTGGTAGGATTTCTTAACACTGTGGAAAATCATGTGGTATAAAACAGGACCTCTTTCTACCTCCATAGCACACGTAGTTGAGGGGGCAACACTTTGTCCGAGTTGTCTGGTTTTGGTGTTTTTAAAATAATCTTGGAAGGTTTACAGCCACTCCTCTTGCAAAACAGGATAATATTACCAAACTGTCATTGTGTGCAGTAGTCAGCTTCTCTGGCATCTCACACCCAGTATATTTCTCACCTCTTCGTCAGACGTTCACCTCCCCTTGGCCCAAGGCCTCCAAAAACAAGGCTTAGCCAGAATAAATGACCTGGTGGGAATTGCTCTTTTTTGCCATTATTTGAAGCTGTGCAGGAAGCTCTTCAGAAAAACTCTGCAACAGAAAAAGGATCTTTCTAAATTGAGCTCTGAATATTTGACATCTGCTTTTATACATTGCCAAGTTTAAAGAATTTAAAAGCCCAGTTTACCCCTCTGGAAAACAACACTATGGAATTATGTAAGTCTAAAGAAATTTAGTTGTCTTTATTTGTTAAATACAGGAGGCTAAAAGAAGACTAGAACAAGATTCCTTGCTCTTGCAGGTTCAGGCTTGAGAATGCATGCTGAGTTTTATATTTGTAAATCATATATCTGCATGATACTGCAGGAATGCAGAATATCATCAAATAATATTTTAGTATTCATTACAAGATTGATTTTCAGCTGGTTTCTTTTTTCATGGGAAGATTTCTGTAAGTTAGCTGTGGACATAATAACCTAAAATTATTGCACCACAATTTCTAGTGTGTCATTATTTCCTTGACTACAGTGATCTATGTTGTTTTCCCAGTATATATAGTCTTACATATTTTATTATTTTTACATGTTTTTCCCACCTTGCTTACTGACAGTGATCCCACCATGAGAAGCTTTGTGTTATGCAAAAAGATAACTTGTTAAATTTTCAAAACCCTGATGTTTGTCAGTGGAAATTTGGCCAAAAGTCTTCCAGTAATTTTTGCATTTACATTGAGAGTTGCGAAGACAGAAGTGGTGATAGGGTATAATTATAGGTCCTGGCTCTGAACCAGCTTGTCTTACCCTTGGTGCTGCTCATCAGGCCTTTGTCTCTGTGGAGTGCTGCTGGCACCTGTAAGTACCACAGCAGCCCATTAATTAAACAGGAAAATAATCGATGATCTCTGCGAAACAGCCAGGTCACATGAGAATAAAAGAGTCATCTCTACTTGGAGGAAATTCTGGGTGGAAATAGGGATCGTGTTTGTTTTGGCCACAGTCCCTCAGGCCGTCCCAGCAGGTACCCACATGGCGTGGCAAGCTTGTGTACTTGCTAACCCAGCTCACCCTGGCTGTCACAGGATGGTGTTGCTGACATGTTGGCATTCCTCTGCTGCAGAACGGCCACAGACTTTTGCCCAGGGCAGTCATGAATGCAGGTGGCAGGATGCCAGGTGGTAGCTTGCCTCTGTGACAGTCTCCTTCCTACAAGGGTGTGAGGCCATCCAGGCTGCAGAGAGAAGTATTTTAGGTACCCAGGTGTGCACATGTGCCTCATCCTATAAGGAGCTTCATTTCCTCTGCCAGGAGCACAGCTCTGCATCTTTCTTTTTAGATAATAACCAGAGTGAGGCACCTAGCCAGGTGACATTTCACATTGGTTTCTGTTACAATATTTGAATCTGTTTTGCATTTCCTAATGCAACAAGTATGCAAAAACAGCTGCAGTCATTGGTGCTTTATGCCAGCAGACACATAGGAAGAGTTGTCTTCAGAATACTTTTTTCTTTGTTTTGTAACTAACTTTGTGTTTTCTCTTAAAGGCACTGCTGATAAAAATCTGGGGGCCACATTCTCAGCTGTAGTAAATTAGCTCACCTTTGCTTAGCAGAGATACTTAAATTTGTGTTTGTTGTTCCTCCAACCTGCGTCTTTAGAAGGAAGTAGTGATGGTGCTTTTGGGTTGGACTTCTCCATTCTTCTGCATATTTTGTGTGCACATACTTCATCTTTTAGTTTGGGATAGACCAGCAGACTTCCTGTGGTCTGCAATACAGGCTCAGGGTGAGCAGAAACCTCTGCAGTATTTCTTTCAGTAAAAGCAACACTTCAGTGTATGCAGAGCAGGAGACTAAACTGAAATGGGTAGCAATGCTCCCAATTAGCTGCAGTCAGCCTTGGATCTGTACTTCCATGCAATTAAATTTGGGTGTGGGTGTTATCCTTGACATTTGCTGTGATTTTGTGTTTCAGTCACCTGTAAGTAGTTTATCTGCATCTGGCTGTATCTCTGTGAAGCCTACTGTTTAGCTAAAATACAGAGCTAAAAATATCCTTGTATTCTGTCAAAAGTTTCCTCCAGCAGCCCTCCAGGCATTAACTCTGGTTCTTGAGTTCATCTCTCTGCCTTGAGAGTTGAGTTACTGTGGAAAGTTAAATAATCTGTACAACAGCTTTCTATTTAGTAAACCACTGGTAGCATTTTGTAAGGTAAGCTTTCTTTTGGGATCAAGTAATGGTAAGCCATTATGTTCCTAATTGTATATTAATAGATAAGTACATCTGCTGTTACTTGAAATGAGAAGGGACCGTTTACTCCAAAGATCAAGCAGTTTGCCAGTTTCCCACCCAGTAAGCACAAGTTGTGTAATTCCGTCTGCTCAGCAGTTTTTAGAAGCGTGGAATTCATTTACAGAATGACAATTGTTCTGCTTGCTGTGAGAAGTGATTTAGAGATACGCTGGGCAGGCTTATACAAGATAGGAATTGGGGTGAGAACTGCCATTTTTTTCAGGGATAACGTTGAAGTTGATAGGTTTCCAAGCTGCAAGTTTCATGTCAAACTCTGTGCCACTGATTGCAAATTTCTGTTTTGGGAGCTTGGTCCAAGAGGTCAGTGAAACAAAAGAAAGAAGAGAAATTAATTACCAATAGGCTTGCATTCTCTGTTTGGGGATTTTCACCTTCACTGGTGAAGCTTTGGAAGTCACAGATAAAAAGGGGTTGAAAGTCCTTTACCTGGTGTTGAGGTCCTGTAGCTATGAAGTGTAGGATACATTAGTTAGGCACCAGATGTGGCCACATAGCTTCTAGATGACTTAATATAGAAGAGATCTCTTCCATCTCTTGGCCAAACATTATATGTTTGTCCACAAGGCACTAATGCTGGTGTGAACACAAACAGTTGGGATGATAAAATGAGTAAACTGATCAGGCTTCTCCAGATAATTTTTTCTTCCTCGTGCAAAAAAGTTATTTCTTTCCTTGAAGAGAGCATCTTTATTCTATTGAATGAAAATGAAAGCTTAGCAAATGTAAGCAAGCAAAGGCTAGAATCTGTGCTATTTTTTCTGATTTTTTCCTCAGCTGCACAGGCAACAGCTGGAATTGTCTCCTGTGATGGGAAGCCCATTTCCTATGTTTTGTCCCTCATAGGAAAGAGTAGATGGCTGTATGTGGGTGATGCTCACTACATACAGTGCCTCCCTGCCATGTAGAATTTTCATACCATGCCTGAGGAGTCAGTGAGCCATAACCGAAGTGACACCGAGGAGGTGGCATTATTTACTAAGAGAATTTAGTATTCAGATAGGTAGCTACCTGCCAGCAATCAGAAGCGGGTCTTGGCTGAGGGGAAATGCCTTTAGGTGTTGAACAGGGTGAGTAATTTTATCTACTTTTACAGGGTAAAACCCAAGAGATCAGGACAGGAGGGGGTGCTTCTTTCTTTTCCTGTGGCATCACGCTAACAGTGAAATTTCAGCTGCTGTGAAAAATGAGCTTATAAATGCTGAGCTGCCCTGTGCAATCCCTGCTGTAGTGTTTGCCTTTCTACACGGCGCGCAGAGAATTTTAACTAGAAATTTGCTTTTGTTTTCTTGATCCAGTGTACTGTTTCCTCCAGATATTATCTGAACATAAAAAGTATGACGTCAATTGAGGTTCCAGAATTTCCAGTATGAAATGAATCTGCTGGAAGTTTTTTATTTATCTTTTGTCTGCTTTTGAGTAGATTGAGCCAGATCAGTGCTTAATCGTGATTAAACCCATTGTAATCTCCGTTCTTTATAAAATCCCTCTCAGAGCCAGGCAGGTTGTTTATTTGGGAAAGGTTATCCGTAGGAGCTTTGCAGTGTTTGGAAGAGAGCTCCTGTTTTCCATGTATATGGGTAAGCACAAGCTGTGTGTTCACTCACTAGCTGTAGCTGCACTATAGTAGGCTTCACGTGAAGCAGTTAGTCACCAGAGCCATGTGCCTGACCCATCATCTTGGTTAGAATGCTAAGTGGCTGCTCATGTCCTAAATGCTGCCCTTGCAAGCAAACCTTAGTCATCGCCTTCAAGCCAACCTGGGTGCTGCCACTGATGATTCCTGTGGGAAGCACAGGGCATCCCCACTGCAGGTTCTGTGACTGCTGTCTGAAATCTGCAGGTTAAACCACTTGGAGTGCAGCTGTTGCCTGTGCAGCCAAAATATCCTGTGTTGTCCCCTATGGGGACAGGCTGAGGGAGCTGGGCTTGTTCAGCCTGGAGAAAAGAAGGCTGCAGGGTGACCTCATTGCAGCATTTCAGTACCTGAAGGGAGCCTACAGAGGGGAGGGGAATCAACTCTTTGAAAGGGTAGAGAACTGCAGGACAAGGAGAAATGGTTTCAAGTTGAGGGAGGGAAGATTTAGGTTGGATTGTCAGGGGGAAGTTCTTCACACAGAGAGTGGTGAGCTGTTGGAACAGCTGCCCAGAGAGGCTGTGGATGCCCCATCCGTGGAGGTGTTCAAGGCCAGGTTGGATGGGGCCCTGGGCAGCCTGGTCTGGTATTAAATGGGGAGGTTGGTGGCCCTGCCTCTGGCAGGGGGTTGGAGATTCATGGTCCTTGAGGTCCCTTCCAACCCTGGCCATTCTGTGATTGTCACCACTGTTGAATCTTCTGGAGAGCAGCATC